ACTAGATTCTGGCAGAAGGACAATTTACAAAGAAATAAATAAAATACGGCAAGTCAAAATTTCGAAACATTAAAGAAATGAGAGTCCACAAAAAAACCAAACAACAAAATTAAAAATATTGACAGTCACGGATACGTTACAACGGATGCTCTATTTGGATGGCGTAAAATTCACGTATACGTTTAACGGATACGGATGTCCGTGATCACGTACCCATGTGGATGCAGGCTGACACCAATGTAAGGTGATATCGGTAATGGCCGTTGCAGATGACGAGAAAAGTCTCTTTGACGGACTAAGGTAATCTGGCAGTATACGGTTAGTCCGAGGAAAGCGACAACGATAATGATGGCGTGTCTATCATGGACGGGAAGATAGGAATGCTATTAATCTTGGCATGGATATGTTGAAGTTCTAGATCGGTCGTGGTGGACTTATGCCCCTTGAAATCTTTCATTAATTTAGGAATTTGTTTTGCCAGGTGATCGTCGGATGGTTCCGCTTTGTTATTTACAGTCAGTTGGGTGGAAAAATTAAACTTTTCTAGCTTAGTATTAACTGTTGTCATATCCTCACTGTGAGGTAATAATATTCTGCCTTCAATCTGGTCGTAGCAATATTTGTCCAACGGAAGCAGTCCACTGCCTTGGATGTACTAGATGGTACGGATCTCGTAGTTGTCGGAACTATGATTGCTTCTGTTTAGGCGCTGTATTACTGTTTTAAGGGAACGACTGAGGCTATATGCCCACCGGTTATCTCCGTCAGTAGAGGTAGATGGTTCGTTCTACATCCTCCGACGCCTCCGACGCTAGTGCGCATGTGCAGTATCGGCGTCGCGACGCTCTGCCGTCATCACATAAGATACGCTCTTGGAGAGGTCTAACCCAAGATGTAAAAGCTAGACGCGAAGAAGCCTAACCCAAATGACGGTTACGCAGACTAGGGCGTGACACGTGATTTGCGTCAAATGTCACCTGTCATTATTGACAGCTCTCTAGTTATCCCGTATCTCATACAAGAGACCCGTAACTAGTTATCCCATATCTCATATGAGATACTCGTTACTAGTTATCCCATATCGCATACCTAATACTGGTGATGACGTAACTAACCCTAAGGGTGTTTTCAAAAATTTTTGAAAAAGTTCCCAACTATATCAAAACGCTTTTGGAGCGAAAACCAGCGTAGCTGCCATTTTTGCCATTCGCGCACAGCTTAAAGGAAAGCCTGAAAAACCAGTTTTGGTCATCTGCGCATGTTGCCTAAGGGCCTTATACTATTTTCTTGAATAATTCCCGTTCTAGTAGTCCGATTCGAATAATTCTTTCACCAAAAATTTCTAAATAATTGAGCGCTCATTTGAAGACTATTTCCAGCCGTTTAGCATTTACCAAAAGGGCCCTAATCAAATTTTCTCATATAATTCGCGTTCTAACAGACCGATGCAATTAATTCTTTCACCAAAAATCAGTAAATAATTAGTGAGGTATTTGAGGACTACTGAAAAAACTTTTTTTGAATACAATTTCTATTTATTAAACTATAAAGTACATCGATTTTTTCATATATGATAAATCAAATTTCAATAGTAAATCACACACATCTTCAAAAGCTTAAACTAAACCAACGATTAGACGTATAATTGCATCATCTTCAGTTTCCCTTTCCTTTTCCTTTTCCTTTTTTATCTATCACTGCTACTGGTGCAACAGATTGCTTCACCTTCTCATTGATCATTTGAATCACCTGTCCTTTCGTGATTAAATCGGTATCGTTTATAGCTTTTGCAGCTCTAACTATTCTCTTATCACCAATGCTTATATAAGTAGCTGTTATATTGAATAGCTTATGTTGTTCTTCTAATGCCGATATTTTCACATTCAGATTCTTTTTAATATCATTTTCAATCGATTGCGACTTACTGGTTAAACTTTCAATTTTCTTCTGATTATCTTTTATTAAAGATTCTATTTGCTTATTTTCCTCAAATACTTCTTGTGAGGGTGGCCCAGCAACTTTTTTCTGGTTTTGCAAATCTGTTTTAAATTTTTCTGAAAATTCTCTTAATGATTTCTCTATATAGGATTTTGTTGCGTAATCTTGTGATTGGTTTTCCAGGCGACGTTTTAACATCAAATTCTTATACTCGTTAACAGTTTTTAGACGCTGTGAACGTCCAAACTTATCAACAGACATGATGATACTAAGTTGAATATCAGTTGCTACAAACTTTTATAGTGTGTCTCTCCCTGTCTCTCTCTCTTTCTTAATTTATCCTGAAAACTAAAATTTAAATAAAAACAACAAATGTTTTTTTTTAAGAATTTATTACACAGGGAAACACATTTTTATAAGTTTACATCCTTATAAGTTACATCACTATCTAAAACACATAATTTGTTGAAATCTATAACTATTTTTTCCGGGTTAATGTATACAAATTCTAACATTAAATAAGATAATTCACATATATTTAAATTACAATATTCTCTTATAACACTTAAACAATTATTTTCGTTTACAGTTTTTACATTATAATATATCAAAAAATTATCATAAAAAGTCTTGAAATCTAGTTCTGCGAGAAGACTTAGCCTATAATCTATTATGTCTTGGATTTTTAAAAAGGATTTAATATCATCTATACAAAAACATAAATTAACTCCTCCGCTTGTTAACTTGATCATTCTCTCTCCAAAAAACATAACTGTAGAAACAATAAAGTTTTCCGATAATGAAACAGTTGTTATCACCTCACTATTATCTTCAGATAAGTCCTTAAAGCATGTAACAATATCCAGAAATTCGAACCATTCTAGATTACCAAACGATACAGTCACTTGTTCTTCAGGCAGATTCAACATTGTACTTGATACTTTTAAACTGGGCATCAATCCTCGAGCAATACTTATTCCAACAACAATTTTAAAGTTCTCGGTTGAATAACGAGTCTCCCCCAAGAATGTTGTTTTTTTCTTCGTACCTTGCTTACTCATCAAAACCATACTATCGAAACACTTCCAATGAGGTGAGGAACAAGTTGAGCAACCGCCACCTTCACTATCCATAATACCATCAATATCTGCTGGCGTCGACATGTTGAGTTACTATATATTCAATAAATGCTCACAATGAACTGATTGAGGTTTTAAACAAAATAATGTTTATATAGAAAATCCTCACCATTTTTTACTTTAATTGTTTATACTTGTTTAAATTCACCTCCAGAAATAGGAGTTTAGATAGAGACCATCCACTGTCTCTCTCCTGAAATTCAGCAGATTTTGATACTAAAACTTGTTTAAACTCATCAAATATCTCATCCAGATCTGTTATAGGAGAAATAGCAGCAAAACGCGAATTAAACGATTTTATTTCCTGTATTTCCTTCAAAACATATAATCCATATAGTTCCATGTTTATTTTTATACTAGAGGAAGTTAAAAACATTTTTCTTATCAATTCCATGATTTTTGGTTTCAAGTCTTCCAAATAAAGTTCAACATTTGTTAGATGTATATTTGTGGATAGTCTATAGGAAATTATGCGGTTTTTAAATGCCGTATTTATAATCTGAACATTGGGTTCTAGATCTATACAACACTTATTTTTATGATTATGACTTAGGTTATGTGAATGAGAAGAAATACTTTCCTCGCAAACTTTACAGTGCAATCTCATGATTGTAAATGAAATGGAAAGTCGTCAAAATCTTCTTTTAAACTACATCCTTGTCCCTGTCAACCCAGCTATTATGAGATTTTTCAAAGCCCAACCATTTTACATACATTTTATTTCCTTTCTTTCGTAATACTTGTTCTATAAGAAACACATCAGGTTGTTTTGTTTTCTGTAGTTCTTCTTCATAAAAACCACCACTTATAGGCCGACCTTGCAAGTCCTCTAACAAATATGTTGTTGGATTTGTAATTCTCACTTTAGCTATGTGGAACAATTCCGTAGTCCAGTTTGGGGTATATCCTTTCTGAAAAACATGCTTGAACTTGCTTATGCGGACTACGTCACCGACCTTGAATTTCTGTTTTCCAGCTACCTTAATATGACTATAAACAATATTAAGTAGTGTTTTTTCATTATTTTTAGTAACTTTGCTTGGTTTCATTTTAATCGTGCTATGTTTGCGGTCATTATATGCATCGGTAACAGGCTTCAATAAATCGATCCATTTATGGTTTCCGTTTAATGTAAATTGCTTAAACAACTTTTCTTTAATGGTTCGAATTACTCGCTCTGCAATAGATGCTTTTAGAGGACTAAACGAACTATAATGATGTATTCCATGTTTCTTCATTAGACTCAAAAATTGAATATTATAGTATTCCTTTCCATTATCCGAAATAAGTTTCTTGGGTATTCTTCCGGAAATTTTCAAAATGCTCTCCATAGCTTTAGCGACATCTTGCGCTGATTTCGATTTTACAGCTCTAGTCCACAGAAATTTAGAAAAACAATCGATAACAACTAATATGTACTTGAATCCCTTGTTTTATCGAGCATACTGATCAAGCTGAGCCAAGTCGGTGGCAAAAGTATCATCCAGACCATACTGTATAAATCTTCTACGATTAAACTTTTTACGTGCTGGCTTATGTAGTTCTTCAACCACCCGTTCCCTAGCCTTTGTAATAGTTTTCATTTTTTTCGTTGTGACTCACAGTACATAAATGTTAAGAGATCTAAACTTGAAAGTGGCTAACCCTATAATGATTCAAGATAACACATGTAAAACTATTTATTGAACTCAATCACACCCAATTCAGCCAGTTCCTCTAAAATACTCATAATCTCATTGATGTTATTGGTATTTCCAGCTTTTTGTGATGCATCCAATTTAACAAGTCTATCAATTAATTCGTTGACGTCATGGTAATAAACATATGGTTTTCGTTTCTCATTATATTCTAATAATAAAGCACTTCCGGATTTATTTTGAGATCTTGTAGATGGATTTCGGCCAGATGGCGAGGCGCTGTTACTTGATTTAAGCCTTTTTGCTTCAGATGAAGATGAGACCAAAGGTTTAACAAACTGTCTATATTTTGAAGATGTGGACCCTTTAACTTGTTTGGATGGATCAAAATCTCTTCGATGAACATTGGTCCTGTTTAGAATATCCGTAAACTGCAACTTATCATCCTCTGTCTGATAGATCGGCTTTTTCAGAAATAAAAGATCATATAAGCCCTGCGTTCCTTTATAAGATACAGCCCCGACTTTAATATCTCCATTCGGGAGAAAGTTGACTTTTTGTGATCCCATAGACCAATCATCGGTTTTCATATCATGTTTCAAGCCATAAGAATGGTCTATTTCATCTGATTGTTTATAGTATCTATCTACATACTCTTGTGCTACTTTGGGATACTGATCTAAAAATTCTTCATACGCTCCTGATCTATCGTGAATTGATTTCTGCAGATCTTCTTTCAAATGTTGTAAGGGTTCATAAAAGACATCCTCAGCGCCATCATCATCATCATCATCATCATCACTTTTTAAATTCTCACTCTTTTGAGCAATAATAGTAGATAGGACAAAGCCGTTTCTGGAATAAATTGGTAGTGGGGGTAACGATGGGCTACCCTGTAACGGTAACAGCAAGTATTGTGTGATGCTAAGAGCTTGTATTGCTAGATGGCGCTGCAGGTAGGTACAGGCACTTGGGGCCCTCGCCCCTGGCCGTCGGGCGACGGTGGCGGCGGATTGTGGGGGCGCGGATTGGGGCCCGGAGCTGGGGGCGCAGATCCCTGGGCGCCGGGGCCCCGATTTCCCGTGAGGGCTTGTCTTGAATTATTTTCATTTTTCAATGACAAAAAGGAATAAGGCTTTCATATTTTGGAATAATTAATTTTATTATTTTTAGCAACAAAGCTTATTTAAGCAACTTATTTCGAATAGATTACAATTATTTTTAATGGAACAGTAGATTAACATCAATAACACTAAAACTATTACTACTATGATTAAGGGTAATACAACAGGATAAAATACTTTCGATGAGGCATCATTTTCATTGCATTGAGATTGGTTTTGTTCTTTCTGGTGTAAAATTATTGTTTTCCAATCAGCTGTGTCTCCATATGTCCGATTTTCGAAGAAAAAACTTAGTTTATATGTAATTGTGTCCGGCAATGAATTATTGGTAGTGGTGAGGTTATATACAAACAATTTCTGGTTATGAGGGAGGGTTTTATCCAGCACCATGCGATGCCACGTGATTGGCCACATATCATTTTTTGTACCATCGTCTATGCAAATGAAGCCTTCTTTTACCCCAGCAGGTATGCTGAAGTAGATTGATTGTTGAAATATAGCATAAAGAATAATGAAACTACTTGACAAGAGTGCCATTGTGAAATGAACGATTATGTTGCATGTTACCATAATATATATATATATATATATATTATTATAATTTATCTACATCCAAGACAGGATCGTTTTGGAGGAGGTGGTCCATCAATTTGATTGCAGTAGTGTAGATAACATGGTAAATTTAGTTGCAAGCCTTCATCATTTTGATATCTCCTAGGTAATAATGTCCAAACTTGTTCCAACTCGATTGAGGTGACGTAGTGAATAAGATAGCACAATGGCATGAATTTCAATTCATCAGATGAAAAATTATGTAATGATCTAAGATTTCGCTGGTATAAACATATTACATTCCCAACATTCTCAACCGTTTCTTCAATGATTCCTCTAAAATCACTCATATTTAACTTTATTTCAGCTACTTACAAAAATCAGGTATATTTTCTTTGCGGCTAACATAAAAGATTGATTGTTTATTGGCGGCGTATTTAACTAACTTCTCTGTATTATTGTTTTTCAATGCCTTTTCTTGGTTATTTTTTCTACAGTTATTGCAGTTATATGCTGCCACACTTTGTTTAAAGCCATTTTGTTTGATCAAACATGCATCTCCACATTTATCACAAATGAATTTATAGTACTGAGCAAAAATTAAACTCATTTCAACGTCTACTTGCAGCGTGGATCGAATTCAGACTGCAGATCACCATGAAAATTCGATTATTTAATACACGAATTTTAAAAATAAGGATTCAATTTTTGATACACCTTATTATTTAAAAATACACGTAAATTATTATTAGCACTTAAAAAGGAAATTGTCAACCAATTTTGGTTGCTTAGATAAGCATATTTTTCCAATCGAAATAAAATGCATCTAGGTAGGTATATTTGAAATTGTAATTTGAGGTAATTATTTTTAACGTGAGTAAAATTTGAATAAAATTCCTATTTATAATTATTTATACATACATGCACCCATTTCAGCCACAATATACATTTTTCGGTAATAATTACCAAAACCCATAAAATTATGATGAGATAAGAAATCCAATAAAATGCGGAATTTTGTGAATAAATGCATAGTGTGAGTCTTACTCTTCCTTTTAACAACAAGTGAAAACTAAGTGCATCTACATCTCAAGTAAGTGATTAATTTTTGATTAGTAATAATGTAAGGATCCAAAAAATGTATTTGCAATTATTTATTTTTTTTATTTTAAATTTACTGTTAGCAAATATAGTTTTTTTTCTTGTTTTAGAAATGGATCTAAAAACAATTAACGAAAGCTGTCTTTTAGAATCTGGGGAGGATCAGAAACCGGCAATAAAGCTTCAAGAGCTGAAACCTAACAAAAAATACCCGATATTTTCAGCTAGGGTGATTCAAAGTAAATTTGGTCCAACTGTGCTAGTGGAATTAGAGGAGAACGTGGTGTTTTTACCAAAGAGGGTAACAAAATCCCTCGAAGCGCAGGTTGAGCATTTGGCGGATCAAAAGTATTCGATAATCTTTAGAGGTCTAAAAGACGTAGGACAGCCAAATCCTATGTCTCTTTTTGAATTTACTGAGTCCTAAAAATACCAGTGAGAGAGGGGAAAGTGAGTACCTATTAGGAAAATCTATTTGATAATCATATTTCAAAATTCATTTTTTTATAGAACAAGAGCAGCAACAAAACGACAAGAACAACAGCCTCCGAGTATATGTGTGTGTTTACCAGTTTCCCTGTTCACGCCTATATTACCACGATTTTGCAACAGAAGAAGAAAGTAATATTTAAAAGTGAGTTTCTTTATTATTATTATTATTTCATATTAGACCATCAAAAATGAACTCAACAAATTCTATTAGTATAAATAAAAAAACTGAGGAGCTGATCAAATTATTTTTAAAAAGAAGAAAAACATTTTTTTATGATAAATTTACTGTGAGAGATAAGGAAATTTGGATGAAAAAAATAAGAAGACAAATTTGCTCTCACAATAAATTAATTCGTTGTAAAGGTTTAGGTTTATCTATTGGCACTCGAAAAAAATTTCAAACGAACTTATCAAATCTAAAATCTATTAAAAATTCACTTCTTAATTCATGTGTTGGGTCAGGACACTCGAATTTAACCATCAAAAATAGGGTTAAATGGGAAAATGTAATTTCTTGTTTCAAAGGGAGAATAAAAACAGGCGTAGTTGTAAATCTAACGCACAAGGACATTGATGAATTTTTAAAGGATTCTTTCATCATTTTTGAGAAAAAAATTAGAAATATTTTGAAAAATCACGCAACACTTAAGGTTAATACGAATTTTTGTGGAGAGTTCATCAAAAAGTCAGAACAAAATGATATTATTGATATCAAATATTTTGGAACTAAAAATGCTATAATAGATGCAGGGACTGAATTGCAGCTTTGGTTCGATGATAATGTACGTGATAAGATATTGAATAAACTTTCAGAATTTCAAGAGCGCGACTCAGGTTTTGCTTTACGTAGAATTATATATTTAGAAATTAATATGAATAAATTTGAGATGGGTAATGGATCTTCGTTTATTGCACTACCTAAACAAATAGCAAATAAGCATGCATGCATCAATATTAAAAATAATGATCAAGCCTGCTTTTACTGGTCTATTGTAAGCGCGCTTTACCCAGTCAAATCTAATTCTCAACTTACGAGTTCATATGTACATTATAAAAATGTTCTTAATACTGAAAATTTACAATCACCAATGCAACTAAGTCAAATTTCAAAATTTGAAAAGATCAATAAGGAAAAAAATATTTCTATTAATGTATACGCTTTAGAGTTGAACAAAAATTTTTTTTCTGTAGTTCCAGTTAGATTATCTACAGAAAAACTAAGACATCATGTGAATTTGCTTTTAATACAAAATATGTACTTCCAAAATATAAATGATTATGATAGCGTACCGGTTGAAGATGAAAATGAAAACCTGGAAATTAAATACCATTATTGTTGGATTAAAAATCTCTCTCGACTAGTTTCATCTCAACTTAATAAAAATAATCATAAAAAACATATTTGTGATAGGTGCCTAAATTATTTTTCGTCTAAAGATAAATTAGTTGATCATGAAACTCTTTGTTCAAAATTGAATAAATATAAAATAGCTTTTCCAAAATATAATTATGTACATTTTAGAAATACGACTTATAAACAAACTGCTCCATTCATAATTTATGCTGATTTTGAATGCCAGCTAAAACCAGTTAACCATGTAGTATCTGAATTAACAAGAAAGTACCAGAAACATGAACCTTTCAGTATCGGCTACTATTTTAATTGTTCTTACGACTCATCCCTATCTTTTTTTAAAAGCCATCGTGGAGAAGATTGTCAAAACTGGTTTATATCTGAAATTAAAAACTTATCAGAATTTATTTATTCAAAATTAAAAACAATCGTTCCACCTATAGAAAATCTTAGTACATGTGGTGCAACCCATTGTCATATATGTGAAATAGCTTTCAAACCTGAAGATTTGATTGTCCGAGATCATGATCATTTTACAGGTGACGCAAGAGGCTTTGCCCACCAAGCCTGTAACTTAAATTTTCGAAAATTATTCATATGCCCAATTCTGTTTCATAACCTCTCCGGATATGACTCACACTTTATTATCAGAGAGCTCGCAAGGCAAGGGAATGTTAGCGTTCTTCCAACTAATAAGGAAAGATATATTTCCTTCACATATGTTGTTCCTGAGACTAATATAAAATTTAGGTTTATTGATTCATTCAGATTTTTGAGCGCTTCGCTAGATGAGTTAGCATCAACCCTGGATAAAGATGCTCTAAAAATATTGAGTAAAGAATTTCATACGCTTGACAGTGAGCAATTTGAGTTGATAACCAAGAAAGGGGTTTTCTGCTACGATTACATAGATAACTTGGAAAAATTGAATGAAAAACATCTTCCTGCAATTGAAAAATTCTATAGTAAATTAGATCAAAAGCATATTGAAGAGCAGAAATATCTTCATGCTCAAAAAGTTTGGGAATCGTTTAATATTGAAAATTTGGGACAATATTCAGACTTATACCTAAAAACGGATGTCTTACTTCTAGCAGATGTCTTTGAAAATTTTAGAAAAACATCGTTTAGTACGTATGGTTTAGATCCTACTTGGTACTATACATTACCAGGTTACACGTGGGACTGTATGCTCAAATACACTAAATGTCAGTTAGAATTGCTGCGAGATATTGATCAAATTATGTTTATTGAACAAGGGATTCGTGGA